AGGTCAATACAAACGATGATATCTCTAGGGGCTGACACGCAGACCGCCCCCCCCCCCATCTTTTTTAGTCCTGTGTCCTCTTCGTCATACGAACATTTGATGATGCGCGGTGGGCTCTTAGCAGCCGCGGCGCTACATCGCCTGTGAGGGCCTCGACTTCGGGCATAAAGACGAGGGTCCTTCTCTCCTCGATGGCCGGGGCCGCGTCGCCGCCGCCGTCTGCGACTGTGTACCGCCGCCAGACGTCGACGAACGCCTTGGCCTTGTCGCCCTCGCCCGAGAGACGGACTTCCTCTACGGTCTCCGTGCAGACGGCCTCGCGCCCGTCGAGGGGCATGTCTTTCTCCCAGCCTGGGCGGAAGAGAACCTCGCCGCCGGCCCACATTCGCCGCATAAAGGGACGTCCCGGCCAGTGGTCTGCGTCGGTGCCATCGGGATGGAGCTCCGATGGGCGCGCCTGGATGGGGAAATAGACGAGGTGGTGGCCCTGTGGCCGGGGGTGGGCTGGCTTCCTGGACGGTGAGGGCTGCGGGTGGAGGGGCGCAAGACACTCAGGGGGCAGATAGTCTGACAGCGAAAGGGTCAGGAGGCGGGAGTTGGTTGGTGACAAGTGGTCTGGTACATGCTTTGATTTGTTGAGGATGTCTCTGATAGAATTCGCCGGTGTTGCTGCTGCCTGAGAAGAAAGTGATCTTGTCTGTAGAGCCCGAAGCATGCCGCCGAGGGAATACCCGGGGCATTGAACCGACAACGACTTCATCTCGACTCGACTCGACGCTGTGCCTCAGACTGAAGCTGTGAGAGAGGTCGCTTGGTACGATCGCTGGGCAGGAGAAGTGGAGATGATATTCAGTGTCAGCCGAGGTAGGAGGACAACGCGAACGGCAAACTGCTAAGCCGAAGAGCCGTCATGGAGATTCAATTCTGAAGACAGACAAAGATTCTAGGATTATGAAACTACATGATATCCTTTTCGATCGCTAGGCATGTTCGGTCGATGTAAACCACCGCCGAGCTGGAGCTCAGCTAGTATTTGGTAATCGCGAGATGGGGCCAACGGGCCAATGAAGGCATACATGGTACTACTACTACCTTAGGCAGAGACAGCTTGGCCCGTGCACGCGGCTTGTTGACTGATAGCAAGGCTACCGATAAGGGAGAAAATTATTTCTGGAAGCCAATCCATCCCACCTCTAGTAGAAAGCAGCACCAGCAGTCTCAGCACCGCAAAGCCCCCCAAAAAAAGAAGGCGACGAGCCGCCAGCTGCCAGCCGCACCTCGACGCACAATCGACCCGGATGCCTGCACCACAATCGACGGCCGACATGTCCGACGTCAACGGAAGGAAAAGGAAGAGGGACGGCGAGGGCAAGTCAAAGCCCAAGAAGAAGACGGCCATTGATGGCGACGTCACAGAGGTCCCTGGAACGCCCATTCGGATCAAGTCCGTCAAGAAGGCGAAGTACTGCCCGCCCGTCATAGGTATGGTTCAGATTTTTGCTCGGCAAGAACCGCCCCAGAGTTTCATGGCTGACGGCATTTTTCATACAGTGTCTGCACCTGGCGTGCGCCTGGACGAGGACATCACGTTCCGAACCTACCAGAAGAGGCAGACAGCCGGACGCAAGTCGAGCCGGCGCCATGCCTCGGAGCAGGAGATCACCCTGCACTCGACAAAGCACCGCACTGTCGACTTCACCGCACGGGAGGAGGAGGTCGACACGAGGGGCGAGCCTTACCAGCAGGAGTACGTCGCCCTGTACAACCCCAAGACGGGGGGGCTCGAGGTCATCGCGGCGAAGAAGATGGTGGTGCGAGGCACGGTGAGGGCGAAGCAGGCAGACGAGGACGCCATGATTGCACCTGCCGACATCAAGGTAGGACACCCAATCACGGGATGCACGACGTCGAGAACCCCAGCTGACCAGCTACACAGACCTACCAGGACCGCAAGGTGGACCTCGGCCAGACGTTCGGCACACGAAAGGCGAAGAAGATTATCGAGTCGAACCGCATCAACGCCATCGGTCCCAAGCGCGGAGAGCAGGACGCCGACGGCAACGCGATTACGGCCAAGCTCGATTCGGCGGAGAAGGCGACACTGTCGCACATCGGACAGGTGACGTCGACGATGGCGTCGCGCGACGAGCTGCAGGCGGCGATTGACGAGTCGAAGCCGGTGCCGCGGGCGAACCTCGAAGCGGACGAGGTAGCCGACGTGTACGACCCCAAGGTGATCATCGGGACCGACGTGCTCAAGGCGGTGCCGGTGCGCGACTGGCAGGAGGCGGTGGAGAAGAACGAGAACATTGACCTCGCGTCGCGGTACGTGGCGCGGCGCATCGGGCGCGTCGGCAAGCAGGAGAAGCCGCTGGAGAAGCTGCGCATCATGCGGTACCTCTACTTCCTCATCCTCTTCTACGTTACGGCCAAGGACGGCCGACAGAGGGGCACCAAGCGGGTGCCGCCGAAGGACCAGCTCGCCAAGAACCTGTCGCCGGCGCCGCAGTCGGTCATCGACAGCATCCGGCGCAAGTTCTCGGACGGCGGTGAGATTCGCAAGTTCCACATGGACCTCATCATGACGCACTGCGCGGCGCTGTCGTGCATCATCGACAATTTTGAAACGGAGCCGAGGGACCTCAGGGAAGACCTGCGTCTGGACTCCAAGACGATGAACCAGTACTTCCAGGAGATTGGTGCCAAGATTGGACAGAGGAAGGCGGCTGGTGAGGCCAAGGCGCAGCCAGTCGCGAAGCTGGCGATGCCGCTCGTGTTCCCCAAGATGAGCCGTGGCGCGCCGATGCGGCGATGAACAATGCTTTGCTGCGCTGCTCGGTACCCGCTGAAGGTACTTGCTGAAGCTGACGAGACTGATGAAAGAGTGTTTTGTGCCTTCATTGTCTTGCCGTGGCTGCGGGTGCTCCCGAGCTCAACAGGATGAGCGATACCAGGGACTAGGAGCAAATGAATGTTTTGACCACACTGAACCGAGTGCCATCGTCCTGCGAGTGCCATCACAATCGAGTGTACATTGGTGATGAGGAAACCTGACGGTCATAGCGCTAGGCCTTCCTTCCTTCCATCCAACAGCCCGCCGTCCTTGCCCCTGGCAGCTCTGGCGGCTCCCCCGCATCTGGTGGGTGCTTTGGGGGAAGTCGCAGCCCTCAGGGGCGCACTTGCCGAGGCATTTCGGTAGTGTGGGGTAGCTCGTCTGGGGAAGGGAAAGCTCACCCCAACCTGGACCTGCCATTTAAGTGTAAGTGGAAGTTGGTACTGACGACGAGTGAGCAAGAGCATTTGACTGATTTGCTCGTACACGTTCTCGACATTGCCCTCGCTGTATACTTCGGCCTGAGCTTTCTCATTTTTCTCATTTTTTTATGCTGGGCCTCTTCATGTCCTTGCACCCAACCCAGCACTCAACTCTTGTTATAACATACCGTGCCCGCCATCATGTCCAACATCATCTCGCTCGAGTACCGCGGCCGCATTGCGCTGCTGACCATTGACAATGATGCCAAGCTCAACGCCATGAACCAGGAAAACTACTATGACCTCGCCCAGAAGCTCCGTGAGATTGCCACACACGACGAGGTCTTCATCACCGTGCTTGTTGGCAAGGGCCGCTATTTCTCAGCGTATGAACTTCCTGCACATGAATCGACGCCCCATGGCCGCCTCCTGCGTGCGCCGCTAACCAGTTCCCTTCAGCGGCGCCGACGTTTCCCTCGCCAACAAGGCACCCGCCGCGGACGATGCCCTCGCCAACCACAAGCACTGGCTCTCGGCCTTTGTCGCCAACAACCTCAACACGACCGAGGCCTTCTTCTCCCACCCCAAGATCCTCGTCGTCGGCCTCAACGGCCCCGTCATCGGCCTCACCGCCGCCCTCGTCGCCTTTGCCGACTTTATCTACATCACGCCCCACACCTTTCTGCTGACGCCCTTTTCCTCCCTCGGCCTCGTCGCCGAGGGCGGCGCCAGCCGCGCCCTCGTCCAGCGGCTCGGCCCGGCGCGGTCCCACGAGGCCCTCCTCATGAGCAGGCGCATCACGGCCGACCAGCTGCTGCAGACGGGCTTCGCCAACAAGTCGTTCGACGTGGCCAAGGGCGACAGCGACCGCTTCCGGGACCTCGTCCTCGCCGAGGTCGACGATAAGCTGGGCGAGCACCTCACAGGCGAGAGCCTGACGGGGATCAAGGAGCTCATCCGCGCGCCCGAGCGCGAGATTCTCGAGAGGCAGAACCACAAGGAGGTATTTGCCGGTCTTGAGAGGTCGTCAAGGGCGTGCCGCAGCAGGAGTTTGCCAAGATTGCCTCGGGCAGAGAGGCACAAGTGTAAACTAGACATTTGATTTGTGCGACTTTCTCTCTCTTGTCTGAAAGCATGCATG